GATGAGCGGGCGCGGGTCTTCAATGCAGAGGCGGTGGTGGCGCAAGGGGCGGACGGTGGCAGGCAGCGGTGGCGCAAGGGGGGGTGGCGGTGGCTCAAGGGGCGGGCAGCGCCACGGCGGCGGTGGTGCAATGGGCAGGCGTGGCACCTGGGGCGGGCCAGCAGTAGAAGACGAAAGGGAATAAGAGATAGGGTTGGCTGGTGGGCCCCACAGCTGACATATGGGACCCATAGTACTGTAGATAATGGTGTTAAAATTCCATCCATCATATCCCCCCTGCCAAACAAAAAAAACAGGAACAGTCCCATTCTCTCAACCAAACAAATAGCAGGAACCATCAATCCCTGGAAACTAGGTTGGGTTCATCCCATCCCACCTTACCTCCCAACCAAACGCTACCTCACATGTCCGAACAGATAGACTTAAGGTTTACATTGCGTTAGCTAAAATTTGGCAGCAAGAGGTCACAACTTCTTTATATGCTTTGGGCAGTGGTGCACCCCCATAAGAATGCTTCTGCTTTGCAAGCGGCCAATGCATATCTATTTATTTTGTGACAGAGTGCATCAATATCCGTCTAGCAAAGCATGCCGATATAGGCAGGGGAATCTTTCTTTTGTTCTTTTTCTAGTACGCTCCTTTATTTCTTTTATTATCCACTAAAGCTCAGTAGCTAGTTGATCACCCAAGCCGGCCGACTGTTTGTTCTTGTTCACCGGTATACGCAAGTTAAGGTGAAGCTGTCGTCTGTGCACGCGTGCAAATTTGTAAATATTCGCATAGATATGCCTCGGGTCTTATCCATCGGTTTCATCGACAGGCAGGCCGGCTACCTACCAATTTGCCACGCCTATTCCTACGCTAGTGAACCACCAAAAGTCAAATATTCTTGCGGCGATCGTCTAGCTACATGTGTGTTGTACACAGACCAATTTACCTCGAAAGTTTAAACCTTTTTAAATAAGAAGGATGGACAATTCCCCAATTTCCGTCTTAAACGCATACATAGCTCAAGCTAAAAATTTCAACTAATTACATATTAAACACATATGGAGGTGTAATGCAAATTTGGGGAGGTTAAAGCATGACCCGTCGCATGACCCTATTCATCTTCTACCTCGCGCTCGCGCTTCCGTCTCTGCCTTCCTCACCCGGCGTTCCCAGCCAGCGGCTGCGCCGCCCACCTCTCGACCCCAGCCATCCTCCTCCTCCTCACCCTCGCCGCCGACCACCGCCCCACCATGGGCGCTAGGGTTCGTCGGAGCTCCAGCTAGCGAACCCTAGCGCCTGCGACGGCCGCCTTCTTCCCCTGCCATTCCGGCCATGGCACCCCCGCCCCTCCTTGGCCCGGCTGCCGCCGCCGCCGCCGCCAGGGCCCCTAAGCCACCTAGCCTCCTTCCCTACTGCCTGGCCGGCCTGCCCCCGCCCGGCTAGGCCCTTCTGTACCCGCCGGAGTTGGGAAGGAGAGGGGGGGGGGGAGACTGGCGAGGCGCAAGCTCGTCGTCTTCTTCATCTCCGGCGACGTCGCTGGAACCCTAGCCGCTGGCATCAACTTCTTTGCCTCTAGCACGGGGTGCGGTCGCGGGAAAGGGAGGGGAGGGAGGAGCCTGAGGCGGGGTGAGTGGGTGGGTGGGGGAGGCGAGTACGACGAGGGCAACGGGCCGCGTGTCCCGTTGCGTAGTAGAGTTTCCGTATTCAAATGGCAAAGAAACGGTATATATGGTCTAGCTAACTAGTAGGTTCCAATATAATTGGAAAGCGAGATTACTTTTGGATCCCCGTCATCAGACGTTGTTACTTTTGGTCACTGACTTCTCAAGCTCACTCTGCTAACAAAACAAAGCTAGAGAGGATCGGGGACACACACACGCACACCTGTCCGATTTGAAATAGGATAGTGATAACGGGTGCGCGTGTGGTGCGTGCGGCTCCAGCGCGGGGACGAGAAACAACAGAAGCTACGTACTCCTAGCTACTATAGCAAGAGGTCAAGAATGCATGACGATGACGCCCCGAGTGACGAAATTCGCGAAAGCGATGCTTGCACAGGGTACCAGCAGGTTGCACGAATGGCCTGATGATATCGCGTCCTCCTGCATGCGTGCGTGCGGATCAGCTACCTACAGCTTTGCCCTAGCCTCTGCTAGCTAGCTACTCCTATAGCGTACGTCGTCGTCACATATATAGCTCTTCTTGTTCTTTTCTTTTCTTTTTTTTTTTGTCCACAGGGCGGACGATCTGCAGTGCCACCTGCGCTGTGCTGCCGTGTCCGTATGACTTGGTTATTTGCCAGCGGGTGCGTGTCAACCTTGTATGAAATCCTAAATAAATCCCTAAAAAATACAAGACAAATCAATTTGTTGTTACCGCTAAAATACAACACGAGTTGCTACATGATTTTTGTATAAGTTGCTATTACGCACATAATTAATATAGTTGACAATTACATGCATAAATAATTCCCAAACATAGCAACATGCATGGATCTTGCTTTTGTAGATCTCGTCAAAAGGAACGTATGTATGCAAATGGATTTGAAAAGAAATGCGTTAACTATGAGAAGGTTAGAGCGTTGAAGCAAAATTGATCAAATCCAGTTATAATGATATCATAGATGACGTTAATTAGATGGGAAAGCGACGTTGCTGTTGCTGGTAACAGCATCTTGTTTTCCATCGATACGAAGCGTCGGATCTTTTTTTTCCTCCATGCGACCGAAGCGATAACTCTGATTTTCGTCCAAGCGATTAAAAGAGGGGGGGTCTTCATCAAGTGAAGCGTGGCCCAAGCCCAAGACGCCCGCAGCCGCAATCTAAGCCCAGAAGGCCGGGTGTCAGGTCCATTTCCCCAGAACTGTTGATTTTTTTTCTGCGAACCAACCGTTTTCTTTGCATTGGCGGGCGGTTTTTTTTTTCCGGAAGGCCTAGCGCGGTCCGGATGTCGCGTCCGGACATGGCTCCCACACCTGCGTCCCGCATCCCGTCCAGCACGAGGAAACCCGCGTTCGCATCCCGCCCAACACCCTGCGTCGGCATCCTGCCCAGTGCCCGCGTCCATCGCAGGACCCGCATCCCCGCGCCCGCACGGGAAAATCCGCGTGGGTTGATCCATGGCTGCGCCCCAGCATCAGCGGCAGGTGGCTGCGGCATGCCGCTGTCCGCCAGCCATCAGCGCCGTGCAACACCTCAATGTACTTTTCAAACATCCAAATGAAATATTTGCAACATACGTCTGAAATAGATAAAACACTTGAAACATGCGTGTATAGGTATAGCAACATATGCAACATCTAGATCTACTTTTACAACATCCAGATGAAACATTTGCAACATAAGTATGAAACATATGAAACACTTGAAATATAAGCTTGAAATGCAGGTAGAGCCATAGGAACATATGCAAGATCCAGATAGAACACTTGAAACATAGGCTTCCAACGTGTATAAATTGTCATTACAACATATGCAACATCACAGATCTACTTTTGCAACATCTAAATGAAACACTTGAAACACTGTTGCCGGCGACCACAGCCTACCTGGTGGGGAACTGCGGTAGTCTGCAAGCTCGAGTCTGGTGGACATCGAGAGCTGCCCACCGTATACCCATGCGCAGGCCTTCCCTTCCTACCGCGGTATCTTCGGCTGGAGCGCGGTGAATGCCATGGCCGCGACGGCGCAAGGTGGGGCGCGGCGCGGGTCGCGAAGGAGTGTGAGATGTGGGCGGGGTGCGGTGCACCCACGCTAGAGAAAGGCCGCCGGGCAGGAGAAGGCGCAAGGTGGATGAGGGGGGCGGTCGCATGCATACGGCGGGCGAGCGGTGGTGGGGAAAGGAAAATGTTGCTGTCTGTTTTTTTCGAGAAACCATGAAACACTTAAGGTGTAGCGGAGCATGCCCGTTGGGCCGGATTGTTGCGCAAGCCCGAGAACAGGGCAGTCCGGGCGGATATGCCAGGACGGATGCCCTCACGAGACAATTTCCGTTTTTTCTTCTCAAATCGCCAAGTGGTTTCTTCGGCGAAGCTCCCTGGTTTTCTCTCAGCATTGCCAAAATTTATTCTAAAAAAAACTTTTGTTGGGCGTTTGCTATGTGTTGCTTTATTTTTAACCACACACTAACATGTTTGGATTTCTACTCTCAACTTTAGAGCTAAAGCCTCTAAATAATTCGTCTAAAGTTAGGTCTAAACTTTAGCTCACCTCACATTAGAGCTTTAGATCTTAAAACTGAGTTAAAGTGCTCTAAAACTTTTAGAGCTCTAAAATTTAGAGAAATGATCCAATCAGACCCTAATGTGCCATTACGAAGCATTGTATTGTCCACACGCTTATTATGCCCGGTGGGATCATTTTTTTGTTCTAATAAAAAGGAATTTTATTTGTTCTAATAAAAAGGAATTTTAGTCGTCGTTCTTTGCGTACCAAGAATAACACTCATATTTCCAACATTGTTGATTATCTTTTTCTCAGGCTTCGAAATATAACATGGTGAAATAAACATCCATCAAATCCTTGGACAAAAGATATCCAACATATCCATCCACGCATAAGATGTAAAAAAAAATCATATGCATCATTTCTTCAGCGTTTAAGATCTAACAACAGAATATTAAGAAAATAGCTTTGACAATTTCACTGGATTAAAGTTTAGTGACCAGTGAGCTACTGAAGCTTGGCGTTGGAGCGGACAGGAATCACCGGGCCAGTGGCAGGCCTGGACAGCGAGCTGCACAAGCACATGGCATGGTGTCCAGCTGTCCGCTGTCCACTGTGAGCAACTTCGTACAATCGTACCTTGGGGTGAATGCGCGGTGGTGTGTGAAGTCAGTAAATCATGTGGCTGTGCTGCGTTGATCCATGGCTGCGCAGCATGCGAGCTGGTCGATCACATGCTTTCCCCAACATAGAACACATTACACAACATCAGAACACGAGCAGGGCTTGTGACTGAGCGAACAGAGCCAAGATCGAGAGGCGTACCTACGAGAGAGAACATCAATAATGGCGGAGACGGCGATCGCGGCGGTGCTCTCAAAGTTCGGAGGGCTCGCAGCGACCGAGGCCAAGGTGCTGCTGGAGGTGGGAGACGACATGATGCTGCTGCGGGACCGGCTGGAGTGGCTGCAGGCCTTCCTCCGCGACGCCGACCACAAGCGCCGCACCGGCGCCGACCGGTTGACCTGTGTGGGGGTGCGTCAGACGCGCGACGTCGCCTTCGAAGCAGAGGACGCCCTCGACGAGTTCTTCCGCAAGGTTCCTTCCTTTCCTCATCCCCTGGCTGCTTGTCGTAATTTCTACCATCGCGCGCGATGACACCATTAATTCATTTATTTATCTGAAAAAAGTAAAAACACTAAATAAAAAGAATCAAAATAGAGACTTAAGTTGCTTGCTGGGTCTTTTCTCATCGCACACTGCTAATTTTGAGCTGCATATACATTAGCGGTGTGCAAGATTTTTTTTTCTCGAATACGCACAAGTGATGCTTATCATTATATTAGGTAGAAAGAGTTTGAGCAATACAAGTGCCGTTCCACGGCCACGTTAGTATTTTGCAAGCGCTACATTCTAAAACCAACGACATTCAAGGGTGGCCATCCCAGCTACACGCGAGCCAACGCTTCAAGCCTCCGTGCGCCGACCTCAATCCACCGATCAGCCTCGGCCTTGACGAGCTGCAGCGCATCGTTCACTGATGAGGATGCCTCCCTGTAGCACCTGATGTTTCGTTCCTTCCATATGGTCCAGCAGACTAGCACAAACAGGGAGTCAATGCCTCGGCGCCGGTCACCATTGTATGTAATATGTCGCAATTGCCGCCACCATCGCGATGTTGTGGCTATGGCTAGTTGTGGTAGTGGGTATTTGCAAGGCTTGGAGAATGTGGAACGCAGACCTCTCTCGGTGAAGGGCACTCGGCCAGGATATGATCAATGGTTTCACGCCCTTGGTCACAGAGGTAGCACATCTCCCTTGCTTCTAGCCCGTGCCTAGCTCTCCTGTCTCCGGTCCAGTGGCGTCATCTGAAGGCCAGCCAAAGAAAGATCTTGATCCGTAGTGGAGCCCAGGTTTTCCAAATGAGTTTGTGACCCAAGAATGGAGTGGATGCTGCATGCAGCATGGAGTAGGCAGATTTCGCTGAGTAAGTTCCATCGTTGGCCCAACGCCAAACGGTTTGGTCTGGTTGATCATTGAGCTGTATGTCTTGCATCGTATCCCATAGTGCTAGGTACTCATGGATAGCTTGCATAAATACTCCTCCAGAGATCGACTGCACCCAGGACCTGTTGAGCAGACCTTGCTGCACGGTTTGTCTTCTGCGCGTTCTCGGAGGCACGAACTGACACAAGCATGGAGCAATGTCTGGGATGGATTCACCATGTATCCACTTATCTTCCCAGAACAGTGCCTGATGCCCCTTCACCAATCAGCGTGTAAGTGGAGGCCTTGAAGAACGCCAGGACTTCAGGCGATGTCTTGATCGACAGCTGACTCCACGCCCTATCCTGATCAGTCTTTTGGAGCCACAGCCACCGTGCTTGCAATGCAAAACCGGCGAGCTTTAAGTCACTGACGCCTAGCCCCCCCCCAACTCCTTCGGCCTACAGACGGTCAGCCAAGCCACCATGCATTTTCCTTGGACCGAGGCATCCGTTCCCACCTAGAAAAATCTCCTGCATATGGTGTCAATCTCCTTCCTCGCCCATGGCCACATATTCTCTGCCATCATTGCGTAGATCGGTACCGCATGCAGCACCGATTTAATCCACACGAGCCTTCCGCTTCTGGCCATCAGGTTGCCGTGACATGGTGGCATCTTCCTCGCCACGCCCTCGACGACCGATTGGAAGTGGGACTTCGGTATTTGCTTTGTGCTCAGTGGGAGGCCAAGATACCTGATGGGGAACTGTTGCACTTGACAGCCTAGAATGGACACAATTTCCTCCAGTGAGTCTTCCCCGCCATAGATCGGCATGATGGAGCACTTTGCCAAGTTAGTTTTTAGGCCTAAGGCTTCGCCGAAGATGTGCAAGATTTGCTTAACAGCCCTTGCTTCCTGGTCGTGTGGACGGATGAATAGAATGACATCATCGACGTATAGGCTGCACTGAAACTTGATTTCAGGCAGTTCCATCTTCCTCAGTAGCCCATCAGCGGCCGCTTTTTGGAACAGTCGGTGTAGCACGTCCATAGCTATGATGAAGAGCATTGGGGACAAAGAGTCACCCTGGCGCACACCTCTGTGATGCCTGATTGGTGGCCCTTTTTGGCCATTGAGGATGATGCTGGAGGTTGCAGTACTTAGCAGCATTTCGATCCACCTGCGCCAAGTTTGGCCGAAACCCCAAGCCTGTAATGTGTTTAGTAGGAAGGGCCAAGACAGTGTCAAAGGCTTTTGAAATATCCAATTTCAGCAGCAGCATGGGCACATTCTTCTTTCTAATAAGCACCGCCGCCCTCGGTATGTATTTGTAATTGTCATGGATTGATCTTGTTTTGATGGAGGCGTTCTGATTGCTGGCGACCAGTTCATGTAGCCTTGGAGCAAGCCGTAGTGCTAGCAGCTTGGAGATTAGCTTCGCAAAGCTATGGATCATCGTTATGGGCCGGAAGTCGGCAGGACAATTGGTTCCCACCTTCTTGGGCAGTAGGACCACTAGAGCATTGTTTGAGCTTGTCCATGCTGCGGGTGTTTCCCTGGGTGAATGCGTGAACTGCAGCCATGACCTCATTAGAGATGGTGCTCCAACTTGACTTGTAGAATGCACCTGTGAACCCATCCGGTCCAGGTGCTCGATCGCTTGGCATGGCTCTGATTGTAGCCCATACTTCCTCGTTAGTGATTGCTGCTTCTTGGTCGCTGAGGTCGAGAGGCTGAATCCCCAGGGCCTGAAAGTTCAAAGTCATCCCTCCCGAGGCTGCAGTCCCAAAGACAGCGGCGAAGTGGTCGCGCAGAGCTTGCTGCATGCCATCCTATTCGGCGATCATGTGGCCATGCACCGTCAGTGCCGGTATGAAGCTTCTTCTCTTCCGGCCCCGAGCAATGAGGTGGAAGTAAGCCGTGTTGGCATCCCCCTCTCTGAGTTGTCGGACTCGTGATCTCTGTTGTGCCATGGTACGTTCTAGAGAGGATAACCCCAGGCGGCGCATCTTCATTCGCTTCCATAGCCCGAGCTCTTCCTCCGAAAGCTACCTGCGTTCTTGTGCTCTGTCAAGCCGTAGCACAAGCTCCCGGGCCATCAGCAACTGTTCTTTGAATCCCCCTATCTTTGTTGCGGACCAGCGCTATAACTCACGCACCAGCGCCCTGAGCATGCCTTCCAGGCTAGATAAGGGGTCGTGGGGCCTGATTGGCCGCTGCCAGGCATTGGCCACGACTTCCGCATAGTCGTCAAACTTGGGCCAAAATAGCTCGAAGTGGAATCTCGCCTTGGACATCTGGCCCATGTTGGTTTGTAGCAGCAAGGCACAGTGATCCGAAGCATCAGTTCCTAGAGCACGAAGGTGAGAATTTGGGAATCTCTCGTCCCAGTCGATGGACACCAGTACCATGTCGAGGCGCACTAGCGTTGGGACGTCCCTCTCATTACTCCAGGTGAAGCACCGACCATGGAGATGAAGGTCTTGGAGTTCTAGAGCGGCGCAAGTTGGCTCTGTCAATTTTGTCATTGCTCTTGTCGGCTTCATTTAGAATTAGATGGAAGTCCCCGGTGATAGCCCATGGCCCTAGAGAAGCGTCACGTATGGCTTCAAGCTCCTCGAGGAAGATCAGTTTGTCCCCGTCCTCCTGCGGTCCATATACTGCGGTGAGCCACTAGCTGTCCTGTGCTTCGCATGTTGCTGAGAGAGGCTTCATGGCGATGGTGACTGAGAAGCAGCCAATTAGGACCTTAAAAGGATCAAGATGCCCAAGAGGGGGGGGGTGAATTGGGCTAATTCTAAATTTTTCTTGCAATAATTAAAACCTATAGTTAGCCCAATTAACCCCTCGTACCTAGAAAAGAGTTTCTAATAAACTAACGCACAACGGACTAGCAACCTATGTTCCAAACTTACTCTATCATGGCAATTCTATGAATGTAAAGACAAGTATTGAATTGCTCAAAGTAAATGCTCAAAGTAAATGGAGAGAGAGAGAAACGCGGCGATATTTTGCCGAGGTATCGGAGAGTCGCCACTCTCCACTAGTCCTCGTTGGAGCACCCGCACAAGGGTGTAGCTCCCCCTTGATCCGCGCAAGGATCAAGTGCTCTCTACGGGTTGATTCTTCGACACTCCGTCGCGGCGAATCACCCAAAGCCACTCACAACTTGAGTTAGGTCACCCACAAGCTCCGCCGGGTAATCACCAAGCTCCCAATCACCACCAAGCCGTCTAGGTGATGGCGATCACCAAGAGTAACAAGCACGAACTCTCACTTGACCACGCGAAGCCTAATGAGAAGATGGATGCACACTTGACTACTCTTGATTCACTAATGAGGCTACTCTCTTGGATTCTCAAATCTCAATCACCTCACTAGGACCTTGCTCTTCTTGGCACTCACAAACGTGTTTCTCAGCTGTTGGAATGAGCAAAAGTAACTCCACACACGAGTGGGCTATTCCGATTCGGATTATGCCGGTTGCAAAGTTGATAGAAAAAGCACATCCGGAGGGTGCCATTTGCTTGGTAGATCACTTGTGTCTTGGTCCTGCAAGAAACAAAATAGTGTGGCTTTGTCCACCGCCGAAGCGGAATACATTGCCGCGGGTGCTTGTTGTGCACAAATATTATACATGAAACAAACTTTGCTAGACTATGGTGTAGTTCTAGAAAAAGTACCTCTTTTGTGCGACAATGAAAGCGCCGTAAAACTTGCAAATAACCTGGTTCAACTCTCTCGCATCAAGCACATAGATATCCGCCATCACTTTCTAAGAGATCATGTTGCCAAAAATGATATATCACTAGAAGGTGTAAGGACCGAAGATCAATTAGCGGATATCTTTACTAAACCGCTAGATGAGGCAACCTTTTGTAGATTGCGAAATGAGCTCAATGTACTTGATTTTAGCAACTTCACTAAAAATTGAGCGTGTGTTGTCCCTTGCATTCATTGTAATATACAACATGTTTAATTTTTGGCAATGCATATAGGGCTTGTCTAACATGGTTAAGATAACCGTCGAAAAGCGTGTGAAGAAGCTTAACCTTGGATCAAACTTGACAAGCAACTAGATTTACTTATATAGCATTGCATATACATGGATGTTATTTTGTCGTTTTGTTCCATTTGCCCTCTTATTGCCTATTTTCTTAAAAAGAATTATAGCCTAAGGTCCACCTCGCCGGTTTCTTGCGTCACAGAGCCACCGCGCCAAGTTCCGCCGTCCTGCTTCACCGTGCCCTAGCTTCTCCGGTAAGGCCGTGCCCTAGCATCGACTGAACTTTGCCAGCAACCTAGATAAATTTCAAAGCCTTGTTTTCAATTGCTTCCAGGGCCGCCGATTCTTCGAAGTGTTTCGCAACCCAAACCCTAGCCCCAGTTCCGTGGTTTCCCCCACGTGACGCTTCTCTCCTTCTCTCGGATTGCCGGTTCGTCAGGTAGCTTGCCCATCGTCTCAATCTCGCACCTACATTGCTTGCTTCCTAGGTTTTTCGCATCTATTAGATATATTGTATTTATGTGTATATCCATCTAATCTATCGTGCAGCGAGTCGGTGCCGTTGAGGTTCCTGTGGCAGTTGTCAGCAACTCGGAGCCAAGCTCGCGAGTACGGATCGAGGCCAAGCCTCGAAAGTGTCAGTGGCAGTTGATCTTGTCAGCGACAGTTCATCCTCTTGTCAGATCAGATGGCTCGTACCAAGAATGTTGGTGGTGGTCCAGGTGATGATGATCGGAGGCCCCCGCCTCGCCTGCCCACAGATCCAAAAGGCAAGGCAACAAAGAAGGTTGCATCCAAGAAGCGCAAGTATCCAGATGCTGAGACCGCCAGAGCAGCAGCAGTTGCAGAGGCCGCAGAACGTGCCGAGCGAGGAGGTGCTCGCAGCGGAGTTGTGATTGTAGATCCGCCAGTTTCATCAGATGCAAGGACTGTGACAGCGAGAGTTCAGCGCCTTCTTGGTAGTCCACTAGGGACTATCACTGTTGAAGGAGGGCAGTATACTATTGGTGAGGGTCAGCCTCAAGGGACTTCACAGCAGCAGCCCCCACCAGCAGAGCCTCAGCCAGCTCAGGAGACTCAAGAGGGCCAGCAGGCACCACAACCCTAGCTTCGCCGCTATGGTCGTACCCATGCTACAGTACCACCAAGGCCAGCTACTCAGCGCAGGGGTTCACGCCCACCGCCTAGACCACAGGGTCCACCTCCAGTGGTACACCTTGACTTGAGGGCCGCCACAGCCAGACAGGTTCGCTAGTTGAGGTTTGTTGAGTTCGATGTGTGGTTTCCTCCGAGGGATGAGAGAGCAGCAGAGGGGTTCTACACGCCACTCCAGGAGGATTTCTATAATGCCTATCTCAACAGTGGGGCAGTGTTCAGGTCTCAGAGAGTTTGCCGTTTAGAGTCTATTGTGGTAGCAGCTGGAGAGCACATCCGCCCCTAGTTGTCATATTTGCCGGGGCTCGCAGATCTGATTGGCCGGATAGGAGTATATGTACCATCTTGGGTTCGGCAGTTTTATGCTTCACTCTACGTTGATCCGCATCACGACTTCATTCACTTTGCATTCAATGGCAGAGATTACAGGGTCATGAGTTTCAGGGCCCGGGAGATACTGAGGCTACAGGATCAGCCTGTCAGATTGCATGAGATATGTTATGGACAGCAGGAGCCTCCCAGGCATCCTCATGGAGGGTTGGTGCCCCCTACTGATCTTGTGCGCCATTGCTTTAAGGAGCCCTTTGGTGAGGGGTCAAGGAGGAACCCCAGTGACCTGACACCTACAGCTCGAGTGCTAGAGGCCATTATCAGGAGGACACTACTTCCCAGGTTGGGATACAGAGAGGGTCTGACTCGCCTATAGCTCTGGCTCCTTAATGCCCTGATGCAGCAGACCGTGTTCAACATTTGGGACATCCTTCTATCAAAGATGGAGGATACTATTGCTGAGGGCTTCAAGGGTCGCAGACAGCTTCCTTATGCTCATTGGGTCACATTCTTGATGCTAAAGTCTGTGCAGGTCAGGACCCCTGAGATGGTTGCAGAGTACAAGGCTGCCACCACAGAGTTTCCCGCATATAACATGGAATGAGGATCGTGCACACAAGGCCTCCACAGGCACCCGCTTTCGGCCCGTCATCGTCCGGATGTTCCAGAGTCGGCAGCTTCGGCAGGGCGAGATCATTAGAGGCATAGCCGCTTCAGAGGAGGAGCGGCTTGAGGCCACGGTAGGGATGACCGAGTCCGATGATAGTTCGGATGATGACTATCTGCGGATTCCTCAGATGCCTCCACGCGGAACATGGTGCGAGGCCATTCCAATTCCGGCTCGGCTCCAAAGACCGTAGATGGACCCCGCATTGATTGACATTCTTGGCGGATGCAGAGATCGAACACAGCAGCACGAGAGGCTGCGCAAACTTTGCACTGATTCGGACTCGTCGGGATGAGTTCGAGATAGCGGCGGCTTCTCCAAGAAGCAGCAAGCAGCGAGATGCATCGGCGGCAGATTACTCTTGTAGTAGCAGCTCGGGGATTCATGCGGCATGTAGTGAGCGACTCTTGGGGCTCCACCACAACGACCTTCGCCTGACTTGCTCACCATTGACCGGACGTCGTCGGTCACATTAAAACTCTTATGGAACCTTATCGTACTCGACCGGATCTGAACCCCTGTGGTCCGGTCGATTTACCGGACGGCGTCGTCATGAGATCTCTTCTCTGGAACCTTCTTTGAGTCGACCGGATGTCGCTTTTCGGCGTCCGGCCGCGCTTTTCAACGCATGATCCCTTGATCAAATGAACTGACCGGACCTGCGGCCGGTCGTCGGTCGCATGCCAAGGCCATTCCGTCCGGTCGATGATTTGACCCTCCATTCACATTCAACTCTTGATCATGTGTGAATGAAGTTTGCTCCATTGGATCTTAGCCATATGTAGGAGTTACCTAGAGCTAGTTTAAACAAGTGTGCACCACACCTAACTCACTAGACTCATCTAGTTCAAGCTACCCGTCCATACCCCCCTTAATAGTACGGCCAAAGGAAAAACAAAGTCCTAAACTACTCCAAGTGTCACTCCAACTCCAATCGACACTTAGAACTAGTCATCCTTAACCTTGTCGTCAATCCTTTGAAAACCGAAACGATTTCCATCGTAGGGGCATGACCACCTCAATTGCTCAATCGATCACCATTACCATGACCTAACTTAATTGCTTCTGCAAAACACACGTTAGTCATAGTAATCTTGTATTATCATTAATCACCGAAACCCAACAAGGGGCATAATGCTTTCAGACCTCTGTGAAAGCTACGTCGCTACAGTGCTCAGCGACAAGAATTCCTCCACGAGTACTAGAAGCAGGCAAATACGCAAACTCGCTGAAACTTACACCATGCAAAGAGAATACAGTGGACTGTGGAATTACATCCAGCTTTGTCTCCTGCAGACAAACGATCGTCGGCCGGCCATAGTATCGCCGGGCCCTCGCGTTGAGACCGTGCACGTTCCATGACAAGATAGTTGTGTTATCCATTGGTGATTACGACTGTGCGTTTGGAGGCCGCACTAGGCCGTGGCAGCCAAGGGCTGCTTCGTTATTCTTGCAGCCCGCATCCTTGCGGCCGGGAACAACTCGTCAAGCGCAGCGACGTGGCTCGCAGAGAGGTTAGAATCGAAGGAGTCAAATGATTGCTGCGACGCCAGCGGCGGAGCAAACTGTAGTGTGACTCCCATCTTCTTCTGGAGCAGCACCTCACCCCTCCTGGATGCTGGGATATGCCCCATCTGCTGTGCGGCAATGCGGCGGCTCCGTAGAGGCACGGGCGGCTTCTTGGCTGGCGGTTTTTGCTTCGGTGGTGAGCGAATGAGTGGCGATCGCCGTTTAGGCTGAACCGTGTTGGTGAATGTGGCGAGCCTTTGGGTAGCCTCTGCCGTCGTCGGAGTTGCATTGTCGGAGATGCCCCCAGGAGTCTGCGTGGTGACTGCTGGGCTGGGCATCGAGTCTGTGTCGTTGGCCGGCTGGGCATGCACGGCTGTAGTGGGCGTCTGGGCGATTGTGGACCCAGCGGGTTCGATGATGGTCGTCGTGGCCGCCTGCCCGTCCGCCCCACTGGTCTCTTCATGCCAAGTCGCGATGCACGCCACGTATGTGGAGGAGGTCTACGTGTCCACCGAGCACGGATCCTCAGCGGCAACAGCTTGGGCTTCCGCTGGCACGTGGCTAGCCCTGTCCATCGGGTACGCAGCCGTGTCGGCCCCATCATGGGCCTCCTCTGCCACGAGGACAGATACTAACTCGTGTCCTATAGCAGGCTGCTCGGTAGTCGCTTCGCTCGCATCTTGGGCCGCCTCAGCCGCGGGGACAGAAATGAACTCGTGGTCCGTGGCTGGCTGCTCGGGCGGCTGGCGATCCACGTCCAGCGTTGCTTCTGCGGTCGTCTGCCCGGGTACTGCCGGGGCCGTGTCGTTGTGGGCCTGTGATGGCAGCTTCTAGGCATCGATTGGCTCGGTCTGATTTGGGATCAACACCGAGGGGTGCGCCTACTGTGTGTCCTGCCTGTTTGGTGGGGTCGGCTCCACGGGCAGCCTTGCCTCAAAGACCATGGGGTCCAAGGCAAGCTGTCGCTCAGTGTCGTTTACGGCAACGGGATGAATTCTCAGTTCAAGCTGGTCTTGGCAAAGTATTTTGCTGCTTTTTCCTTCATTTGCACCTTCCTGCGATACCTCTGGCAAAGTATCTTTTTGCCCCGCGCTACCCGCCAGCAATTCTGGCTGCCCGAGATGCGCGGGAACTGCTCCGCGATTTGCGGTGATGACGTTGGTTGTCCAGCTCCCATGCACGCCGGCCCTGTTGACGGGACCTCTCCGTCGACGACGCCTCGGTTGCATCGGAACCCCTAGATGCGGGGCCCGGTTCCCCGGTGGAAGTGGTGCCTATCGGGGTTGTCGTCGTGGCCGCTGTCGCCGTCGTCGGACTCCGGCGGCGAAGGCGGTGGCGACGGGTTGGCCGGGTCGAAGTTGTAAACGTTCCGGATATGCACGAGAACGCGGTAGCTGAGAACGTCCTTCCGCCGGAGGTATGGAGGAAGGTTGCTGAAGTGGAGGTTGTTCGCCGTGGCACCCACGATCTCGTTCTCGGCGATGTGCAACCACACCACCTTTGGGATGGCCCTTGGGTCGCACGTCCAAGCCGAGAGCTTGTATGCGGAGAGGTCGGTCTTGTCGGTGGAGTGCGGATCGACGGAATGGAGCTAGCAGCTGGGGGCCAAGATTTTGGCCGCCGTGTCCTCGCCCCAAGCATGGGGGGGACTCCCTCGAGCTCGATGGCGACCTTGAACTTCATCGTTGCTGTTTTTGCATGAGCCAGGCGCGTCCATGGACGCAGCACCAGCCATGTCCCGGGCACATGCAACGGCGGCGCGGCCAGGATTCTGTCCTGGACCTGCATGGACTGGCACCGGACAAGGAAGTTCTCGGGGTAGAACAGAGCGATAGAGAATGAGCCCTCCACCACACCGTTGATGCTCCGGATGGCCCGCGCCGCGTCAGCGATGGACACGATGTGCGTCGCATCAGCCGCCATGGCCGTGAGAGCCAGCCGAAGACCTGCTTCGGCGGCGTCGATGACCGCGCTGCGCTGAATGATGACCGCGCTCTCCCACTGCCGCTCCTCTGGGTGACCAGGTAGTAGGGGCTCACGGTCATCCACGACTGAGCTGTCGGCGCCTGCCAGAGGAGGGATGCCGGCTGGGGTGGTGCCGGTCGCCTAGGAGCCGGCCGGAGTGCCAGGACTGTCCGAGCCGTGCTGTGCCCTGACGAACCGCTCCTGTCCGCGATCACCGTCCCCGCTGGCGCCCTGCGCCAGCGACCTTGGCAGCTTGCACTGCCGTGCCAGGTGCCGAAATCCGCGGCACTTCCAACACCTCAGCGGCAATTGGCAAGTGGCGAGCCGATGGGAGAAGGATAGGCAGTTGAGACACCTGTCGCGCATGGTGTCGGGGATCCGTCGGCGGCGGGGAGCCCGATGGCGGGCGTTCGCGACCCACTGCTCGTTGGTGATGGTGGCGCCGTGGTCGTTCGCTTGCCTGGAGAGCACCTCCCTCCATCCGTCCGCATCCGGTGGCGAGATCCGTCGGCGACCTCGTGCTGGGATGCAGGGGCCGAGGCGAAGGTGTGCACGTACGCGTTCAGCGTCGACGCCCAGGCAGTGACGTGCCGGAACGCGCGCGCCGCCGTCGACCCGGCTGCCCAGTCGCTGCTAGGCGGGGATGCGCCGACCCGTACCCGCCGGATGGGCGCCTAGGCTTCCGCTTGCGACGCGCCGAGTGGGCGCCGTCTTCCCGCACAGTCGCCACTGGCTGCGTCTCGACAGCACAGGTGTGCGGCTGGGATGTGGTCCCTGCCTCCAGGCCTACCTGTGCCGAAGAGCCCCGGCGGACGACGTCGAGGAAGGATGGTTTCGCCGACGGCGCGGTTTCGGCCTCGCTCTCGTAGTCGGAGTAGACGGCGTCGTCCGACCAACGCATGGTCTTGGAACGCCCTGGGTTGCCGCTGGGGAAGAAGGGTGGTGCGTGGGGAGAGAGGGAAGCCGGCCGCTTACCTCTAGAGGTGGAGCAGGGGTGGGGGGGGTTGGGCTGGGTGGCCGGCGGCGCCGGGTTGGCGGCCGGCGGGCTGGTGGGTTCGGGGAGGGTGGGGGAGCGGAGGGACTCCATCTCGGACCCTATCCTGAAGTTTCGCTACATCTTATATTACAGCCGGTTGTTTCCAACATTGTTATGAAAATTTGATCTGTTCAGACTTTTTTTTGTAATATCTACATGAATTTCTGGTGAACAGGTTGATCTGGAAAGGATGGGTTACCAACGCTGGATCAAATGGCTCAAAGAATACTTGCTTGGCTGCTGGACCCAAATCCTTCTCCGATATGAATTGTCTGGTCGACTCAAGAAAATTAATAGCAGGCTCAATCAGATCTCGGAGAACCAAAAGGAATACAAGATCGAGCATACACCATTAGCGACGCTGACATCTTCCACTACAGCCACTTCAGCATGGTATGGGGCCTGAATTATCAGTGTTGCACTTTCAGAGAATACAAGGAACTGCTTTTCTTAATTATAACCTCCATTCCAAAATACTTAAGACAACTTTGATGTTTACTGTTCAAACAATGACTAATAATATTTGTCGATGATATTTAGTTAAGTAAAGTGAGGAAACTATCATTGAACTTGGTGTCAAAAGAACAAGCATGTCATGTATTTCTGGCTATTTGTACAAATATTTACATAAAGACGAACTGTCAAACGTTGAACAGTAACCATAGTTGTCAATTGTTCTGAAACAAAGGTTGGGAGGCTGCTCGTGTGTGCTTGTGGTCTGCTGGATCCTCTTAACTGATCTCTGTGTCTAATATAGTGGAATATGATAATTTAAATAAATAATTGGTGTTGCCATGCGCAATAAAACAATAGGAACATAAGCACCAACAGATAGGTTATATTTTTACAAAGCTTTTGGCACTAGTGCACATTTTTCTAATTTAAAATAAATTAGTTATGAATTTTTAGAGGTTAAACTAGATTTTTATTATTTTTTGACGCGGAAACAAACTCGACGATAGTTGGATGGACAAAAATGGAGTTCTCCCTTGTTTAACACACATGCTTCTGTTCTATGTTTAATTTCCCATTTTACCTAAACACAGAATTTGTTTGCTTTTCCACGTATATATTACTGCTTTGCCTATGTGTGGAAATAATGGCGCATACTTCTCTTTTGTGTTATCAAAGATTCTGCTAGAGACATGTAATTTGGTGTTAATATGTGATTACATGTTTAAGGGGGTGAGCTTTAAATTGTTCATAGACTAAAAAAATACATTGCACTATATATCCTGCTGTATTGCCCAAGAGGAAGTTAGTCTTAGGTTGCTTTTCAGTATTTTGCTCAGATTGCCTACAATATGCTTTTTTTGTGTGTGTGCAGGTTTTGCTTTTATGCTTTGTATCCGATTTACCTAGATGGATTTTTAGTGGCTTAGTTCGCAACAGTTGTTTTGAGGTGTTATTTAGATTATTGCCTAACACGTTTGGCAAAGCCTTGCTTTAACCTTTTTTTTTACGATGCCTATATGAGAGTTATGGAAAACTTAACTTAAAACATGAGTCAGTTCAGTTTTCTGATAAAATTTTGTGCTTTCAATAATTTGGCCAAATGATGTGGGTAAAACTGTTTTTACATCAACAATTCAAGACAAAGCTGCCTAACCACCGAGTTAATTTTGTCTAATAAGCAATGAGACAATTTGCATTACTAACAGTACTCAATGGACAGGCGGGATGGTTATAAGAATGCTGTGGGTCTTGAAAAAGAAGTGGAGACACTTAAGGAGATGCTGCTTCATAAAGATCACCCCCAGCTAATGTTCATCTCCATACTTGGGGAGAGCGGCGTGGGAAAGAAAACACTGTCACGTATTCTCCTGCATGATATGAAGAATAACAACCATTTCGAGATTCGAGTTTGGTACAACATGCCGCCGGATTCCACCACAGAACATCTCCTCCAAACAATCTACGAGAGAGCACGCCAAGCCATTTCGCCAACACAAGGAGATCAGCCGGTCCAGGAAGGCTCTTGCGATGATATCGCTGGCATGCTCCGTCACCTCCTAGCCAACAAGAAGTATCTGCTGATTGTCGTTGGGATATCCTCTAAGACCATGCTCAACTGTGTGAGGGCAAGCCTACCAGATAACAACAATGGAAGTAGGGTAGTTCTCGTATTGGACATCGAGAATGAAGAGATAGCATGGCACGCAAATGCCATGAACAACGGCATCAGCGATGGAATCCGCCACTTGAGCCGTTTGGATAAGGAAAAGAGTGTGAAGTTGTTCTGTTCGAGGGCCGTCAGGACAAATCTATCAGACGAAACTACGGGAAACAGCATGATGAGCATGTACAGCGAAGTTGTGTACAATATAACTTGGGGCTACCCTCTGGCTATAGTGGTTTTGGCCGGACTACTACGATTCAAGGAGAAGCCAGGGCAATGGATGGCAGTGCTGCAGCAGCTTAGGTCTGGACCAGCAATGGAAGAAGCACATCAGCAAGACGGCGAAGGCAATCAGATAACAGGACCTGCGATGTTCCAGGAGGATCGTATTGAGGAGAAGATGAGCCCCCCTACAACAGAAGCAGCCAATCTGTCCACAAGAACGTCGATTGAGAGGGTCTTCTGGGCAAGCTTTGAAGACCTTCCCAACGATCTCAAGTCATGCTTCCTCTACTTGGCCGCTTTCCCCAAGGACACCTTTCTGTCTACCGACAGTATAGTGCGGATGTGGATGGCCGAGGGATTCATCAGGCCACAGAAGGGCAAGACAATCGAGGAGCTGGGTCATGACTATTTCAAGGAGCTGGCCTTGAGATGCCTCGTTCAGGTTTCAGCGATGAACGAGGCTGGCGGCATTAAGAAAGTCATCGTTCACAGGAGGCTCCACGGGTTCCTGCATTCAGAGGCTCGTGAGGCAGGCTTCATTGACGCCCATGACATGCATGACGTCTTCGTTCCGCCGTCGGTGCGCCGCCTCTCTTTCATGAGTTTTCAAGGCGGATATACCACGTTCACCAACAAGTTCTGTAAGTTGCGTTCCTTCATATGCTGGGCCAAGGAGAAAGATCATCGTCCAAGCAGCAATGGCAGCGGCGGTGGAGGCGTGGACGAGGAGCATTGGCATGATCTCAAGTTTCTGCAGGGTTCAGATTTACTTCGTGTGATCGACGTACGGGGACTAAGGATCAAGGAGTTGCCGAATGAGATTGGCAACAAGATCCACTTGCGGTACCTTCGTGTAAACAGCGAGCACCTCAAGGAGCTCCCGTCCAGCATTCAGAGGCTGCTCAACCTGCAGACACTGGATATAAGGGATACTGAAGTCGCGGAGATTCACCCATCCTTCTGGAAGATAAAGACGCTGCGGCATGTGATTGCAAATAACCTCACGCTTCCATCATCTATCAACGAAGAACTGGGCGAGCTGCAAACGCTACATGGTGTAAAGCCTAGCAAAGGAGAATGGGATCAAGATAACTGTCCACTGCTCAAGATGGCCAAACTCCGGTCACTGGAGCTACACGGATTCATTGACGCTAGACATGGTGCTGCGCTGCACACTGCCCTCGGGCAGATGCATCTCCTTGGCCACTTGAAGCTGAAAGGTGATGAGATCTCTTCTTGCATCTTCACTGGACAGCGCCTTCGATATCTTCAGACTGTAGAGCTGGATGGCAGTGGCACTGTGCAATGGCCAGCTGTTGATGCGTTCAATGATCTTCGCTTCGTCCGTCCAAACCTTGTTCAGATCAGCCTGACAAATACAAATGATGCGCCGGAAGACATCCAAGAGGAACTGAGAAAGGCAGGCTTTATCCGCTCCCGCACGCCATTCCAACCAGTTTATCGGCTTTCATACAAACAAGGTGTGGCGAAACCGGAGCAGCAAGGTGAAGCAAGCTCCAGCAAAATGGAACAGCAGCACCATGGTGAGGAAGCTGAAGAGTGATGTGGTGCCCAGCTGGTTTTTATCTCTAATTAAATGTTTCTATTTCGTGAGACAGTGCGTTTGTATTGTGTTGTAATATAATGACTTGTTTGCTTCGGATCTCTGTATGTTGATGTTCTGTTTGCTGCTGTTGTAATCGTGAACTATTATGTAAAAAAAAAAAGAAAAAAAAAAGAATGCTTTTGCATTCAGACTATGGGGTAACTTTGTATTCTATCTTGCTGAGTGGGAGAGAGAGTGAGACCGAAGAAAGTTTGTGGACGGTTGCAGCATTGTCTTGGAGAAGTCAGTGGCGAAGCTTGTCAATTTTCACGGCTAGGACCATGATAAAAAATATGTATACCACTCGCGCCGGGGCTAATACCATCGGCACTCGATCTAATATGGATAGATAACAAAATAAACTCATAAATGCATAAATTTATATTAGATGATATATATCTCAATTCCATGCTTAAATCCACAACATACCTGATGAAAATATGAAATTGGTATGAAAAAAATCAATTCATGACGATTTGGTTCGCCCCTCGCATCTCATATATCATTTTAATGTTATATATAATTTGTTTTGTGAACATAATGTTATATATAATGGTCCCCTTCGTTGTATAATTCTACAATACTTAAAAAATTGACAAAGACACCTACATTCATGAGAATTGTCAAATGGCAAGTGACATGAGGATTCCAAGATTAAGAAATTCAACATTCAAATAAAAAATGGGAATTTGGAATGTGGATTGGGAGATTTACCTTCTGTAAAGTCGACCTGTCTTGGCCGCGTATTGGATGCTGGCTGCCGGCCGCCGAGCTGCACCTACACCTTGCTTCTGTGTGCGTGCGCCGAGTGCCGACCGGACCGGCGGCCGCTGCCACCACGCCATGCCTAGGCGCTCGACTGTCCACCCCCATCTTGACACCCAACCGTAGCGCTGCCGTGGGCAAGGGGACGACTGCCAGTGCCAGGTCCCTTCTTTATCAGACGCTCCGGCGGCCTGCAGGGCGGCATGGCTCGAGGCAGAACGACCAGCGGACCACAGGAGCCGGGAGGAGAAACGAGAACGAGAGACTGAGGGAGCAACAGAGGCGGCGCTGCGGCGGCTTTGCGAGTCGCAGACGGCCGGTCAGCCAGGCAAGCAC